ACAGAAGACTTCTCATTGTTGTGAAAAATGAAGAGTCCTTCTTTATATGCCAGAGAGGCTTTGTGAGCGTGATTGATTCTCCAAAATTGTCTGAAATGTCAGTGAGCATTAATATCACTGATGAAAACGATGCCCCTCAGTTCAATCCTCCAATTCTTAAGCTTTCTCGAGAAGAAGGGATGATGCCAGGAACCAGGCTTGTACAATACGAAGCTCGGGATCCAGACACAGGACAACACAAGATGAAGTAAGTGTTGGTGTTCTCCAGAGAACGTTGCTGGAGATCTCTTGAAGAAGCTTTCTTACTTTTACTCCTTAGCAGGGATGGGTTCTGGCTTGTGTTACTGCTGGTTTGTTCAGGGGCGTGCAGCGTGCCTGATGCGTGCTTGATGCATGCATCTGATGCATGCTTGATGCATGTTTCATGCACGCTCGTGCACACGCACAGTAGTTAAAAATTGCTTCTGTGCATGCGCAGAAGCAAAAAACAAGATGGCGCCGCCTACGGCACCACCGATAGAACCAGTTCGGGGGGCATGTCCGACTGAGGTACTACTTACTTGGCTGAACTGGTCCGAACTGGTAGAAACCTACCTCTGCTCTTTAGCAACAAACACCTTCTAGATCAGGGGTGTCAAACTCGATTTCATTGCTGGCTGCATCAGGGTTCTGTTTGACTTCCAGTGGCTCGGGTGAGTTGTGGGCAGGGTGGGTATAGGCAGCTCGATGTCCCTTGTGTTGAGGGTGCCTGTCGTGGCCTGAGTGCTCTGCCAGCGAAAACGGGCTCCTGGGCTCTGTTTTTGGCTGCCACTGCCTCCTGCAACCCTCTGCCAGCAGCCCTCCTCAGCTCCGTTTTTGATGGCAGAAGCACCGCAGGCCAGTCCTTCGCTGTTTCCAAGATGGCCCCGTGTGCCAGATCTAAGTATCCTGTGGGCTGGATCTGGCCCCCGGGCCTTGAGTTTAACATCCCTGTTCTAGATCATAGCTTTTTCAGTGGAAGTATCCAAGCACAGAATTCATTTTTCAGGTAGTTTTGCCAAACTTATTTTTGTTACTCTTTGACAGAAGGAACATCAATCATTACCACCACCATCACTTTTTAAATAAAGTATCAAAACAACATGCATTTGAGGTGGGTGTGTGTGTTAGTAATACCCAACTTTTCAAAGCAAATCATCTGGACCTAATGATTTAAAAGTGGGATGGATTTGGCCAATTCCACCTTGTGAGGCTGGTCAGTTTTATATTTGAGTAAGATGTAAGGATCTGTTATAATCCCACTAAAAATTTCAGATTTGGGTCAGGAAACATTATAATCTAGTCTAGAAATGTTCATACTGTTGCTAGAATCCATTCCCCTAATTCTCATCTATGGACATTCTCAGTCGCTAAAAGAATGCAAAGAACCAGCTGCCTGCAAGGAATATAAATCCTTCCTTTTCCCAACATCCAGTCAGAGCTGAAGAAGCTTCTTGGATGAGAAGCGAAACGTCTTTAAAAGAAAAACCAGAAAATCCAGTTGCCTCTTGAAAACAGCATCTTGGGGATCCCTTAATTCTTGTGTGGGAAATTAAATCTCATAATTACACAGTAGACTTGTTCAGAGGAACTTTCATATGTTCTTTTTAAGATTAAAAATTTATTGATCTGTTCTTCATATTCTTTGTTTGTCACACATGTTTAAAACGTTTGCTTTTTTTTAAAGATATAAAATAGTGTCAGATCCAGCTGGTTGGGTAACGATCGATGAAAATTCTGGAATTGTGACAGCTGAAAAAATTATTGACAGAGAATCCCCATTTGTGAACAACAACACGTACACCATTGTGATTCACGCCACTGATGATGGTAAGTTCATTCTCTTCGTTTAGAATAGAATAACAGAGTTGAAAGGGACCTTGGAGGTTCTCTAGTCCAACCCCCTGCTTAGTCAGGAAACCCTACACCACTTCAGACAAATGGATATCCAACATCTTCTTAAAAACTTCCAGTGTTGGAGCATT